TCCCAGCCCCAGAGTCCCTCCTGAACTCCAGACCCCTTTTCATTGGCTGCTGGGTGTCCCCATGAGATGTCCCAGCGAGTTTCACGCTCAGCAAGTGTATCCCTCACTCTCAGCCTGCTCCTGCCCCGTTGCCTGTCCCGTCTCAACAATTGGCTCCGCCAGGTGGAAACCCTCCCCTCCACCTCACGCCAGCTCAAACCTGAGGCCTTCGGGGGTGGGGTGGGTATGTGTGCTTGCCTTCTTTCACTCATTCATTCATTCAGCAACTATGAACTGAACATCAAGCATGTGCCAGCTGTTCTCCCCAGGGGATGTCAGCATGCTCTTGGGGCTTGCCCGCTAGTGGGCGGACCTATCGGATGGCCATGAGGCTGAGGGAAACACAAGGCAGGGAGGGCCAGCATTTCATGCCTGGAGGTCAGGGAGGCCCCCTGGGGAAGGTGAGAAGTGAGCAGAGGTCAGACCAAGGTGGGTGAGCTGTGTGAAGAACTAGTGCTCCGGGTCAAAGCACAGCACTTGAAAAGGCCTGAGGTCGGAACAGCAAGGAAGAGGGGGTGGCTGGAACGGAGGGAGGGGGAGAGAGCAGGGGGGAGCTGCTGTGAATTTCCTCAGGCATCTGGGGCAGGGACCTTTGCCTGTGCACACCTGCTGAGTTCCTGGCATCCAGGCCAGGCCATCCAGGCCCCTGTCCCTGCCACCATCACCTGGGCCGTCCTCTGCAGCCCTGATGTGCTGAGCTCCGGGTGTCACTTGGTCTCCTGGCGGGTACTGTGAGGGCTGAGCGTCTCTGATCTGCTCTCCCCTCCACCCCCGTCAGCCTGCCCAGCTTCCGCTCGACTCCTCGTGTGGGGCTGGGCCAGCCGCTCGGCTTCTCCTGGCTCCTGTGCTATGGGCAGGGGGTTGGGTGGCTGAGGGGGGTCAGGATCTGATTCGTGCTTGTCCTGGTCCCCTCTCCGGCCCTGCCCAGGCACACAGGGGGTGTTCAACCCCAGTATCACATGGTGGTGGGAAGTCCGACCTGTGTTGGGGCACGTGACCTGCGGACCCAGGGTCTGACGCAGGACCGAGGAGGTGGGAGCTGGTGTGGAGCTGCCCCCTCGTGCCCCTGACTTGGGACTCTCCCTGCCCACAGGTACTTCCAGGGCACTGTCATCCTCCTGGTCCTGACCCTGCTCCTGCTGGCCGGCTTTCTGCACCTGGACATGAGGTTTTTCATACCGTAAGTCCTGCCATTGGCCCTGAGGATCTGGGAGGCCACCACCCTCGTGTCCCCTGCCCCTGACAGCCCTGGAGCAGGCCCTGGGAGCAGGGCCAGGACGTCGAGCCCGCCTGCCTCAGCGGCCCCTACCTGCACTGGTGGGGTGACCTGGCGGCTCACACCTCCCTGCTGCACCTCAGTTTCGCCTCTATCAGAGGAGGCGTGAACCCTCACCTGCTGGGACCCATTATCCTCCTGAGGCGCTCCTCTCCCTCCTGCCCTCCTGTCCCCCTTCCCACATTTTAGGGGTGCCAGAGGTGCTGCGTGGGCCTTTGAGCGAGGCTGCCACAGCAGGACCCTAAGGTCACTGATTGTTGAATGGATGGTCACAGAGCCTCCACGGGAGGCAGGGCCAGCCTCCTGTGGTCTCCTCTCGGAGGTGGGGGCTGGCCCTTGGGATTGTTGGAGGGCGCTGGGTGCTGGGAGGCAGCGCTAGGGGCAGGACTAGCCTCTGGGTTCTCCTCCAGGCTCTGGGAACAGAGGGGGCCAGGCCGGCTTGGCCCAGGGATGCCGTCTAGACGACCAAGGTCAGTGCCCATCTGGGAGCTCCACGCACCCCCACAGCCCAACAGTGCCACCAGGTCTGGCCTGCTGGGGGGTCTCTCGGCCCAGCCCCCACCCAGCTCCCCTTCCAGTGGGATGTCCACAGGAGGGAGTGGGTGCCAACACCCTCTGGGCCAAGCTGGTGGGGGGATGCCCCAAGGGCAGCTGGTCACCCTCAGTGGCCTTGCATTGGGGCAGGAGGATGGGCTTGGATGCCAGACACGGGGACCCAGAGTGCCCGCATCCCAGAACCCCTGGACCACAAGGGGCAGGTTAGGGGGGCTTGGGGCTCCAGGCCAGAGGTGCACAGCTGTGTGGTGCTGTGATTGCCCACAGGAGTGGGCACCAGTGTCCACTCTGTCCTGCAGGAAGTGTCAGCTAAGAAAGGCTGGAGGTGTGTGTGGGGGGGCAGGTGTCAGGGTGCAGCTGAGAGCCAGGCCGGTGCCCTGGGGGCCCAGGAAGACATCCAGGGAGAGGAGTGGTGAGCTGGGCTGCGTCTCCATCTCTATGGGGGTGGGAGCCCCTCAAGCAGTGACTCCCCTCCCCTACTTCCAGTCAGAGGACAGAGGGAGGAAACCCTTCCTGTGCCCAGTGGGTCCCTTGGGGCTGCAGTTTTGGGGGGTCACTGAGTTGAAGGAAGCATGGATGGGGCAAGGGTTGGGGGAGCTGTTGGGTTGGGGCACAGGGTTGAGGACACAAGGCTGGGGGTCTTGGGTTGGGGGGCTGCTGAGTTGGGGGCATAGGGTTGGGGACACAGGGTTTGTGGGTGCAGGGTTGGGGTTGCTGGGTTGGAGTACTGTTGCGTTGGAGGCACAGGACTAGGGGTCTCGGGTGGGGGCATGCGCTGCCTCCATAACGGGCCCTGCGTGCTCTCTTCCCCCAGCCTGCTCCAGGGGGCCGCAAAGCTGCCCGTCACCAACGTCATGTTCCTCAAGACGCACAAGACGGCCAGCACCACCATGCTCAACGTGCTCTTCCGCTTTGCGGAGACACATAACCTGTCGGTCGCGCTGCCCGGAGGCGCAAACTATCACCTGGGCTACCCCTCGCTCTTCCTGGCCGGCTACGTGGAGGGCAGACAGGAGAAGGGCCTCGGCCAGCAGAGACGCTTCAACATCCTGTGCAACCACCTGAGATTCAACCTGCCAGAGGTGCGGGTGCAGGGGCGGGGCCTCTCGGCCAAGGGGGTGGAGCCTCCTAGGGACCGTGGCAGGTGTTGGCACTGGGCTCAGGTGTACCCTCTGCCTCTGTCCCCAAACAGGTGCAGAAAGTAATGCCTGAGGACACCTTCTACTTCTCTGTCATCCGGAACCCCGTCTTCCAGCTGGAGTCCTCCTTCGCCTACTACAAAGGCTACGCGCCCGCCTTCCAGGCTCCGAGGAACCTGAGCACCTTCCTGGCCTCACCGTGGACCTACTACAATAAGAGCACCGACCCGAAGAATGTCTACGCCAGGAACAACATGTGGTTCGACTTCGGCTTCGACAACAACGCCTGGCCCGAGGAGGCCTACGTGCGCGCGCGCATCGCGGAGGTGGAGCGGCACTTCCAGCTGATCCTCATTGCGGAGTACTTCGATGAGTCCATGGTGCTGCTGAGCCACGCCCTGCGCTGGACGCTGGACGACGTGGTCTACTTCAAGCTAAACTTTCGCAGCCAGCGCAGTGTCACGAGCCTGACTCCTCAGGACCAGGAGCGCGCCAAGCAGTGGTGCGCGCTCGACTGGCGCCTCTACCAGCACTTCAACCGCACCTTCTGGGCCAGGATTCAAGCAGAGCTGGGTCCGCAGCGGCTGCGCAGCCAGGTGGCACTGCTGCAGGTGCGGCGGCGCCAGCTCATGGACCTGTGCGTGCAGGACGGGGTGCCCAAGAACGAATCGCAGATCAAGGACCTGCAGCTGAAGCCCTACCAGTCCGGGAAGGCTGACATCCTGGGCTACACCCTGCGGCTGGGCCTGGACAACGCAACCCTGCAGCTCTGTCAGAGGATGGCCATGCCCGAGCTCCAGTACATGGCTCACCTGTACGCCCTACAGTTCCCGGAGAAGCCCCCTAAGAAGATCCCGTTCCTGGAGGGGTAGGGCTGGCTGGGGGCAGGCCCCTGGGACGACGCCTCTACCTCCATGCCCCAAGGTGGAGGCACCGCCTGGTGCTCGGAGCAGGGCTCTGGGCAATTGGGAGATCCGGACCTGGCCAGACTGCTGCCCTTTAGGGTGAAGGCACCCATGGGGCCCCTGTGGGCCCCCCCATAACCTCCTAGGTGAAGGCCCTCCATCTAGGACAGCATGCACGTGGCCCGGGATGTGCTGCCTCATGGAGCGTCTACCTGACGAGTCTTAAAAAGATACGAAACTGAGCAAGAGCTAGCTACTCATTCACACACTATCCGTTGAAAGAACTCAGACCCAGGAGATCTGGAGGGGCGTGGGCACCTGGGGCTGAGGTCCTGGGAGGACATGCCCTCTGGCAGCTGGGACCCTGCTGGTGGTGCAGAGGCCCACACCCAGGGTCGGATTAACCAGTAAGCATGGTAGGCACCGGCCTGCATTGAGCAAGCTACAGACAGGCTTGATAGTGTTTACTTGCTAATCTGTGGGGAACAATTTCATATGGGTTTCACCACATCTTTGATTGTGCGCTGCAGATTGGTGGCAAGGCACAACTGGGCCCGTGCATACCTTGTTTATCGGGTTATCCGCCCCTGCCACACCCAGCACCGCTCCTTGGAAAAAGCAGGGTGCCTGGAGCAACCGAGGAATGCAGCTGCCCCCACACGCTGTCCTGGAGGCTTAGCTTAGAGGGGGGAAGCCCCTCCCTTCCATCTGGCCGTATGGCCCCCTAACCCTGAGACGCCTGCAGCGGGGCCCATGACCTGCTAAGGGTACTCATGTGTCTGGGAGTATCCCCACAAGAGGATGATGGAGGGAAACCCTCTGGGCTTTTAAGGGGAATCAGCATTCCAAAGAGGGGAGCACCCCAGATAGAGTAGGTGGCTCCCTGGGATGCCGATTTAATGGAGGTGACTTTAGGAAGAGATATTACCATGACTCAATCTTAGAATATAAGAGAGCATTTGGAGATCGAAGAAATGGCTTCCAAAAACTGGAATAGAGACAGTGAAGAGTAGATGGACACTCACCGCTGATAGCTGGGGTCGGCTAGGGGACTCGTCCGAGGGGCAGCCATCCTCAGCCCAGGGACAGCACAGAGGGGAGTCCCAGGAGGAAGTGGGTAAGGGAAGCAGAGCCAGGGTGAGTCAACATGTGGCTGACAAGAGCCCCAGGGGGCCAGAAAGGGGGATGGATAAGAAACTAGTCAAACAAGAAAAAATTGTCCCGAGCTGAAGAAAGACTCAAGTTCTTTAGCCCCAGTGAGCTCAGTGGGCATCAGGCAGGATCAACCAACTCCTAAAGAAAACAGGACCTTAGCTCCCATGGGTGTTACGGATTGAATTGTGTCCCCCCACCAGAATTTATGTTGAAGTCCTAATCTCTGGAACCCATAAATGTGATCTTGTTTGGAAATAGGGTCTTTGAATATATTATTAGTTAGTATGAAGCCATAACAGAGTAGGAAAAAAAAACCGAACCTGTTGGTGTCGAGTTGACTCTGACTCACTGTAACCCTACCGGACAGGGTGGAACTGCCCCATAAGGTTTCCAAGGAGTGGCTGGTGGATTTGAACTGCCAACTTTTTGGTTAACAGCTGAGCTCTTAACCACTGCGCCACCAGGGCTCCGTACCGGAGTAGGGTGCTGCCTGAGTCATCCAGTGCTGCTATAACAGAAATCCCACAAGTGGATGGCTTTAACAAAGAGAAGTTTATTTTCTCACAGCCTAGTAGGCTAAAAGTCCAAATTCAGGGCATCCGCTCCAAGGGAAGGCTTTCTCTCTCTGTCGGCCTTCTCATCAGTCTTCCCCCGGACTAGGAGCTTCTCCATGCAGGGATTCCGGGTCCAAAGGACTCGCTCTACTCCTGGCACTGCTTTCTTGATGGTATGAGGTCCCCAACTCACTGCTTGCTTCCCTTTCCTTTTATCTCTTGTAAGATAAAAGGTGATGCAGGCCACATCCCAGGGAAATTCCCTTTACCTTAGATCAGGGATGTGACCTTAGAAAGGGTGTTACAATCCCACTCTAATCCTCTTTAACATAAAATTACAATCACAAAATGGAGGACAACCACGTAATACTGGGAGTCATGGCCTAGCCAAACTGATACACACATTTTTTGGGGGACATAATTCAAACCATAAGAGGTGGGTACTAATCCCACGTGAGTGGTGGCCATATAAATGAGAGACAGAGACAGAGACAGAGACAGGAGAGATTCCCATGTGAGGACAGAGGCAACCACAAGCCAAGGAACTCCCGGTGCCACTGGAAGCTGGACATGACAAGGAAGGGTCTTCCCTTGGCGCCAACACAGAGAGAGAGCGTGGCCCTACTGACACTCTGAATTCGGATGTCCAGCCTCCAGAACTGGGAGAAGGTTAAACTTCTGTTCTCATGAGCTCCCCACTTTGTGGTGCTTTGTTACGGCAGCCACCAGGAACCAATGCAGTGGGCAGCTGTCAATCCAAGGCCAGCGAGAAAACTTGGATCGTCCTAAATACAGAGATGTTATCAGGGAGAGAACAAGTCAGACCGAGGCTGGCACCTCGCTTGCAGCCCCGTGAACAGCACAAAATCTAAAACGATAATATTCTCAGCTGCACAGGAATCAAGGAAATTAAATTGCAGTGTAAATTCAGTATCAGTTTTGTTTTTGTGTTCGAGGTTGACAGGAATATAAACCGATACCACTTTTCTGGAGGGAAATCAGGCAATGTTTGTCAGACTGTGAAATCACGTGTTGGCATTTGTGGTAGAGAATTTTGGAAACAACCCATCTAGGTTGTTCATCAAAAAGGAATGCTTAAAACTCCAAGATGCTAAGCAGTTAACGACCTTGGAGCACAGTCTGGTGGAAATGCCCTTCAGAAATGGCATTTCTGAGCCTGATTCGTCATGTTGGGGCTCAGAGTCATCAGTTCAGAGCTGCCTGTCTGGGGGCGGGGAGACGGGAGCAGCCATGGACGAGTGGACGAGGGGCCTTGAGGGTGGGGAGCTGCCCGCTCCTTAAGGAGCAACAAGGAAATGGTTCCTTCCTCACAGCATTCAGACCAGCCGACTCAACCTCAAATGCACAGGCGGGTGATACACCTGGGTGTGCCGGGCTCCGGGGATGACGGGGCAGAGGTGTGTGTCTGAGTTTCCTGAGGCTGCCATAACAAATAATGCCACATGGGGTGACTTCAAAGAGCAGGAATTTGTTTTCTCACTGTTCAGGAGGCTAGAAGTCCAAGTTCAGGGTGTGGCTCGGGGCGGGGAGGGCTTCCTTTGTCCGTGTCAGCTTCTGGTAGCTGCTGATGGACCCTGGGCGTGTGATGCACCTGCCAGGCATGTCCGTCTTCACGTGGCGTCTTCCCCTGTGCTGGGGGACCAACCAGTAAGCACGGGATACACTAGTTTACAATCAGCAAGGTACTTCGATGTGAAAAACAGGTGAATTTGTGCATCACAGATTATTAAGTAAACACAAGTAAGCCTGTGCTCACATTGCTTATAGGATAATCTGTCCCTGCCCCTGTGTGTCCCTCTGTGTCTATTCTGCCCTTTTAATAACTCAGACAGGATTAGGTTTAGGACCCACCATACTCAGATACAACCTCATTAACATAACAAAAGAAAGCACTGTTTCCAAACAGGGTTGTATTTACAGGTACAGGGGTTAGGACTTCCACATACCTTTTTGGGGGACACAGTTCAACTGGTAACAGTGTGTGTGTGCTCATGCAGGGGGCACCCCAGCCCCGCTTGGTCCCAGGCAGTGATGCCAGTTGGGGGTAGGGGAAGCCTGGGAGACCTACTGACCTGATTTTTCCAGGGAAGATGGAAATAGAGATTTTTATGTGAAATCTCCCCATTAAAAAGAAAAAAAAACTAGCAACTAATTAAAAACATGCAAAGACACAGAGCAGTGGGAACAAACATATCTGTGGGCCCCTCTAGGTCAGCCACCTGAGGGTGGACACGAGTTCTTCACACAGATGATGGGGGTCTTGGAGGCCCTGCTTCCCTGTGGGGGCAGGGGAAGGGAGGGGGACCCCTCCCCTCAGTCTGGTTCGGTTGGCAGAGAGTGCTAACTGTCCTTGGTGTCCCCACCACTCTCCTCTGACAAGAAATCCCTGGGGCTTTACTGGACAGACTGCCCTCCCTCCTCAGGAGGCCGGCTGGCCCTGGGCCGTGGGTGCCCTCCCTCGTCAGGAGGCCGGCTGGCCCTGGGCCATGGGTGCCCTCCTTCCTCAGGAGGCCGGCTGGCCCTGGGCCGTGGGTGTAAGTACCATCCAAGTCCTTCCCCAGAAAGTGGGTTCGTCCTCCCTCCCTCTCCCCTCCCAGGGCTGGGGCTCTGGGTGGCCACAGAGAGGAGGATGGGATGAGAGGATGCCTGGGAGCAGTGGACGGGTCAGACAGAGCCCGGTCCTGAGCTGCTGCTGGTTCAGCTGCCACCCCGTCTGGGCTCTGGGCTGGGGAAGGCTCTGCTTCTCTTAAAGCCCTGGCGTTTTAAGTGAGGTGGCAGAGCCAGCAAGGGTTCCCCTGGGCCTCTGGAGCTCTGTGGAAAGCCGTGGCCCTGGCAAGGAGGCTCTGAGTGTCTGCAGCCCTGACCCCGGGGTGGGCCTCCGTTTCCTCCCTGTGCAGTGAGGAACTGACCAGCTGGTCTGTCTCCGAGCCCAGGGTGGCCTGGCCCCCTGCCCGCTTCTGCAGGCTGCAGGCTGTGTACCTGTCCCGCTGGCGTCGCTGGCATTTAGGGTTCTGCTCGGGGCTACTTCGCCTTCCCTAAATGAGCACAGAGGGCTGAGGCTCCTCAGGGCAGGGCTGCAGGCTGGGGCTCTCGGGTACCCCTCACAGGGAGGCTTCTGCAGCAAGCTCCCAGAGGGGACTCCACCTCCTACCCCAGCTTTCCCTGTGGGGCCTTGTGGAGTGGGGGCTGGTCCAATAAAATACATTCAAGTGGGAATTTCAAACCCTTTGTTTTCTTTAGTCTGACTGGGGGAGGCAGGTGGGGCTACCATGAAATGCTGTTCCGAGATCTTTGAGCGCAGGGGCCAGCCCTGACCCTCGGTCTCCATGAGCAATCCACCGCCAGGACGGCAGGCCCCTCGGCCCTGGAGCTCCGGGCCACACCGAGCATGGGGACACCAGGGCAGGCTATTTCCAGGTGCAGGGGACCCCATGGCTCTGCCTGAACTTTCTTAGAATTTCTGAGCACAGCCTACCATTTCCAACCCCTCCCAACTCCTCTCCTCTGTGGGGACAAGATCAGCCCTGCAGGGACCCCCACTCCCTGCCTCCGCCTGCCCCTCCCCCATACCCCAGTAAGCTAATCCCAGCAGGTCTCCCAGGACCTGAGCTGACAAATGGGTCTATCATCTCCATGTCCACATTTGCTGTGA